GCATAAGCTAACTCATCTTTCATGACGAACATTATTAAAGTTGAATCAGTTAAATGAACTGATCCTAGAACAATTCAAATTATAATTAGAAGATTTCACTTGACAAAATTTCAGATTCAATTCAACTGAAAGCAGATAAAATATGAGTACTAAATGTACTAAGTACCATTTAGTTGGAATAACCCGCTTGCCAGTAAATGACCCGACGCGATACTCATTTACACTACTGAATTTTAGGACAACGCTATTTAAGTTTTATGGCCGAACGCTATTTCAATTCAGGAACGAACGCTATTACCCCCGCTCGTTGATAATTACGGAAGAACGAACGTTCGGTATAGGACCGAGCGTTCTTTACCACATAACGAATTTGGACGAGCGTTCGTTATAATAAGACCAGCGCTACTTAGGACGTACGCTTTTAGGTCGAGACCCATAGCTAATTCAGTACATTTGAAATAAGATTTTTCAGAAGTTGAAATGTTGAAGTTACCTTTGGAACAATATGACTAAGTGTTTGAATATATTCTCAGGCTTCTCAAATTTCTCACCAACACTCAGGGTATTTACGTTTGGCCGACGCGCAACGTAAGGCTAATATAAGAGGGGCGGTCGTCCTCAAAGAGAATCCTTCCCAAATGAAAGGTTCACCTACTCAAAGCATTTACTTAGGACTACCGAACGGTCAAAGACCGTTTCGATAACGAACGTTCATTTTCATATGATTTTCATATTCAATTTCAACATTCAGTAACCATATTTTTCAGTATAAACTTTCATGCATTTAATCACTCATATCATGGCACAAATTCATACTTCTTCATACATCATCTCATCATACACGCATTTTTCAATTTAATCCCACCATATCACATTTCATCATCATTTACAGACACATCATTTCATAATCCTCATTCGCATACCAAAACTACATATCATGAATCATACATTCAAGCAACACTTAAACGCACATGCAGTACAACACAATCACATGAATTAAATCTAATAAGCTTCCCTTACCTGGATTGTGCGTTCGTTCTTCAGAAGGAAAACTAGATTCCAGTGCACTCTTCTACCCTTAACGTTCAACCCAAAACTTCTTAAACTAAAATTACAGAAAACCAATATTGGTTCAGAGAAGGTACATGCAATTCAAATGAGGCTTGCATGATGATAATGAAGATTAGTTAAGGACGTGAAACTTACCCGTTTCAGAATCCAAAACCGTTCGATTTGATGGAAAGCTCACGATGCAAGGGACGTCCTCACGGTGCTGAAACGTGAACGGAACAGAGAATGGTGAGTTGCAGAAGAGAGAAGGATAGTGGTTTTTAGAGAGAAGGGAGAGAATTTGGAAGATCAGAGAGCTTGAGGAAGAAGATGAAGTGTGCAGAGAAAGGTGGAGGGCGGGGTGGGTGGTGGGGGGAAGATTTTTCCAGAAATCACTTTTCTCTTCCAAGGCAAGGAACGTGAGTCCATTCTTCTTCTGCTGTCCACATGTCTTCCCTTAACTTTTAGAATTTCGAAACATGACATTTGGCAACTGCATGCAGAGTGGTGTGTGTGCGTTTCATGATGGCACTGCTCACGTGTCATAGTGCATTAATGGAAGCTGACAGGTGAGTCATCACCTAATTAATGAGACGTGACACAGATAGTATAATACACACTCAACCCGTTTAAAAATGATATTAAAATACCTCATATTCATTATCCACAAATAATAAATATTTATCGATAATAACTATCTATCCCTAATTTTATTCACGAATAGTGCATCTGTCGATTTTTTTTTGTCATTTCTAGTAATAACACCATAACATATACTACAATTAACACATTTAATATTAATACTTTGAGTTATAAAATTAAATATAAATACAAATTCAAACATAAATATTCATTCTATTCTATGCATACTAATGTCTCATCTAACATTAAAAAAGCTTTTCATTCAATTCCAAGCACATGTTCATCACGTAACAGGAGTTTTCACTTTTCCAATTATGCCATTAATTTGCAACCACGTCATATCAAACTTTTATTCAGTGAAATTGCCTTCCAATTTCCAATTCAAGAATTTAAACTTCAAACGTGATGCGTTAAACTTTCACCTATCGTAAATCGGATATTTTCAATATTATCAATACATTCAATATTTTCAATTCACGGAAAATCGGATAAACGTAACTGGAAAATTATTTATCCTTCAAAGCATTTAGTTTTGGATTCCTGTCACACTTACAAATATTTTACTATTCAAGCATACGCATTCTCAACCCAGCGAAATTAACATGATTTGCAATTAAATTTCAATTGGTTGTATCTCACACATTAGAAATGCAGCGGAAAGATATAAAATTCCTAAATTCATAATTGAGATTTATCTTAATTAGAAAAAAACATAAATCAGGGTTCATATCAATTTCGTAAAAGAGTCTCTAAATTTCTTAGGTTTCATACTAATTTAGTAAAAAACTTAATTTAGAAGAAACCTCATAACAAGATAATTATAAATTTAATAACATATGCCATGATAAACATAAAGTTATAATTTTTTTAATTTTATTCCACAAAATTACTTTAGGATATTAAGATTTGTTATCCTCTTATATTAATATAAATCATAGCAATGAGATACTAATTTTATTCATGATTAACTATAAAAGAACCTTATAGTTTAAAATGACCATAATTTCTTTTATTAAACAAGTACATCAGGTTGATTACTGTTTGTTTTTATTTCATTTTTATTATGATTTCTTATATTTACTAATAGGTCCTTGTATTTTCATTAAATCACACTTGTTCTTATCATGAGTCACATAATTAATTCTAACAGCAGCTACATTTATATGATTACTACTATAATTGAAATAGTATTTAAGAATTGTAATTGTTCTCAAAATTTGTTTTACATTCGAGTTTAACTGACCACAATAATTTAGTGACCTAATAATACATAGTATAGGCAAATCAACAAAATTACTGGTGTTATAGTACAAACTACATCCCTTTCTCCATGTCCTGGCTTAACTACATCCTTAATTAAAAAATTTTAAATAAATAGGTCATTATAAAATTCATTCGTTACATATAATAATTTCCTGTAAAATATTACTCAAAAAAACCTGCATACAAATAAATGAATTTCTTACTGCGTAAATTATTATCTAATAATAATTCTAGTTTAAAATGGTCAACTTATCATTATTTTTTTGTAATCGAAGACAAGACAATTCAAGAAATAGTCATTGACATACGTAGATGACATATAACATAGTCTCGGGTTAAGAGATGAAATTGTGTCACATCCCAAACGCAACACAAAACACAAACTAATCCTGTAAAAGCTCGTCAAAAGAACATCAATAACCATAACAATAAAACTAGTAATAAAACCATAACATGGTTTGGCCTTTCGTGACCCCAAGTTTTAATTCCAAAATGTGACTGAGCAGATCCATTACATTGCTGATATTACCAATTTACGGTTAAAGCTGATGGAAAGATAACACGCACTAGGCTAGTGGTCAAACCATGCCAGCCTATTACCCCCCTCAAGGAAACAACAACGACTTCACACAACACTGGGAGATGTCTTATCAACACAGACGTGGGAATATAGATTGTGTCGTACGAGGTTCTCCATAGGTTGGTGTCCAGATATCAAGCATAGAGTCAAATTTATTACATCATCACTGTTAGCTTCACCCTTTTTTCTGTCTCTGGGACACCACCACAGGTTACCCTCTCCATTCCCTTGTTTAAAATCTACTGATGGGTTATCAAATTTTAGAATGATACATATAAACCTACTTTCCAAAAATATCTATTATAAATTTTAGGTTCCTTCTATATCATTGTGTAATTCTACCATTTTCCATTAAAATTTTACTGAGATCCACCGAGGATAATGAACAAAATTAATGTCTGAAATAAAAGCCTGTTTTTTTTTTTTTTTCTTTTTTCTTTTTTGTTTTTTATTTTTTAAGATGACACCACAACATAAGAATTAGTCCAAGTCACTGTTCTCTTTGATAATTAGAAAGGAAAACAAACAAGAAAGCCTCGTAGTAAGTCAGCTACACTACATAATTTTACAACGAGATTACATCAACACAGAATCTAAAATCACACCCACCACTTATACAGAGTAGGAACACTACATTTGCCACCCAAATAAAGAAACAATCCTATAAGTCAACACTCACTTCTCTCAACTGAGGCTTTACCTTAGGAGGCCTACCCCTAGGCCTTCCGCTGGAGACGGTGGCCGGCGCCACCGTCGTTGCTGGTGAGCGAGGAATTTTCCTGGGCCTGCCCCTTGGCCTGCCACTTCCCGGGGTGGGCTTAGGCTTCGGGGACTTTGGAGGAGCATTCGGGTCCTTTGGGGGACGACCCCTTGGCCGTGGAGGGGACACAACGGTGCCTGGTGACACAGGGGCCTTTGGCTTTGGTGGCCTTCCACGGCCCCTCTTTGGTGGGGCACTTGGGTCAGCCTTTAGGTAGTTGTTCTTACTGAACACAACTTCTCCACTGTCTTTCATCTTGTTCAGTTGATTCCCCAAAACAGTTGAGTCTGGCAACTCACCATAGGTCGATTCTATGTACTTGGATATTGCTGATTTGCTGGATCCACTTGGTTCGTTCAGAGCTTCAAGCGCTTTCAGTATGAGCTACATCAACACCACCCAAAGTTAAGAAAATACAATTGTCATAAACACCAAGTCTCTATCTGTAAATCATAGCTCGTGTCTTGACTTTGCAATAATACAAACCAAATAAATTAAAAACCCTTTTTTTCCTGATTTGTTAAGTTCCTCAAACACTTAATTTCTTTTCCAAAAGTGCTAAAAATGGAGCAGGGTAGACAAAACAAGAAACCCAAGTCGGTTAAAATGTATAGATCAGTTAGATCAGTGAGAAATCTACCTGGTTTGCTAGGAAATTTGTTCGAAAATTTCATTTAGGTAAGAAAAAACTGAAAAGTAGAATCTGAATTTTGGTGTAAAATTACCTCGGGGTATGGAGGAAGTGACTGAGGCTTATTAACCTCTTCAGTGGCCATTGATGGTGCAGGCTGTGAAGATGTTGAAAAGTTTGCACAGTACCCTCAACGAACCCCACCAAAAATCTGCAAACTTTAACAGAGGATGGTTAAAAAAATTTAAGGAAAGTGAAGAGTATGATATGGATGACTCTTTCAAAGATCTGAGAATTGAATTTAAAGGAAGATAAATAAATTAAAAATTGGAAAGAAATTTAATTAAAAAGATAAAGGAAAAAATTTCATGCCTCTTTTACAACTCCCTTTGTTCATCTTTTTTAGAAAATGGACGGTTAGGAATAACGAAAAAGATGATTATCCGACGGCTGATGATATATTATGCTGAAGGTCACTCGGATCGATGACGTGGCAGGAATGTGCTAGTTCGCAGAAACATTTGAAGGTAGCCCGTTGTCTCTTGCTTCCTTCTTGTTACCCATTAGGTTTTATGATGGAGACCATCCCAACTTTTAACTCTTTTTCATTTTTTTATTTAAATTTTAGGAGGGTTGAGAATTGAAAGTCTACCAGAATTTTTTTTTTCTGTTTACAGTATTTATATTTTAAATTTAATATTTTACATCCGTTGTAAAATATATATATATATATATATATATATATATATATATATAATAATAATTTTCACTAACTTATTGATTAAAGATGTTTTATAGAGTTAACTCTGTAGGTTTTACTATATAAATAAATTTATATTTTTTTAGAAAAAACCTATCATTCTATCATCTAAATTTTAGATTATTATAAATAATTAAAATTTTATTAACCTTTAGGTGTTAGAATTTATTTATTTTTTAATATTATTTTTTTATTTAAAAAACATTTTATTTAGATTAATTTATTTAATGACTACTTAATAAATTTTTTTTACAAACTTATATTATTTAAAGATTAATAGTGACATACAAAATAGTAAAAATGGTATGTGCAAGACTTTTAACAATGTAATTGTTAGTGCAAGGACTAAGCCTATAATAAACCATGATGGATGACATTCGACTTTACATAATGAAAAAATGGACAAAAAATAGAAAGAAGATAAATTCACACTAAGGCGTTATTTACTCCAAAATTAAGAGTAAATTGTAAAAGGAATCATAAAAAACAAAATATTGAACATCAAGGTATCAATTACATATGATAGTGATTTATTTTTGCAGCTATCATAGTTATTTCATATCAAGTAATTGTATATAATTGGGATTGTTTGTGATTTATTGATTATGAGTTTTTTTTCATATGATAGTTGGGCAAGACACAAATTGTTTCAAGTCAGACACACCTCAGTAATTGAGAAGAATTTTGTGGTGAACATGGACAATAGGGAATGCAACTGTAAAAATGGAGTATAACAGGAATTCAATACTATCATTCACTAGGTGTTAAGAATTTTTTGAATATGAATGAAGAAGACTTTACCCCTCACTAGTTTAGGAGATTAACATATGAAGAAACATACATTTCAATTATATACCCATACATTTCAATGATATACCCTATGAGCGATCAACATGTGTGGGAAATTACTTCTTACCTTAATGTTTTGCCTCCAACTAACAAGGTATTTCCTAGAAGACCAAAAAAGAAAAGAAAACTATAGCCTTGGGACTTAATGAAGGATGAAACACAATGGTAAGGTGGTTCACGCAAAACATGTAGGATCTGCAAAGAACTTGGACATAAAATAAATTGTTGCCCATAAGCCACTCACGTAGAACAACCTTTAAGCACACCAACTCTACAACCTGAACCAACTTCAACAGACCCAACAATATCACCTCAAAGAGGTTAGATTACACCCACATCACAACTACCACCAACTACAACATATTCTCTTAAACCATGCCATCCACCAAATGAACCATCACACCCTTCTACATCACATCACGCATCACAAGGCAGACCCAATATTAGGCAAAAATTGACATATATGAAAGACCCAATTTGAAAGTTATGACACTTGAATTATCTACATTTTGGAGTTTCAACCTTTGTTTACAATAGACATTTGAAAATATAATTTGGAACTTAATTATGTATTTTCTAGCTTATTTTTGTTTAGGACGTCGAACAATGTTGTCTTTAACCAAGTCGTTTTGTCGTGTAATTTTGAAGAACAACATTTTCTTTTTCAATGCATTTGCATAATATTTCATATGTATTTGCATAAAATTTGAACATATATTGTTTCTTTGCATATAACTCAAAATTTTCATTAATTTCATAAGATTACATAACAAAACACTACAACCTTTACATCACAACATAAAAATCCTATACACTTCAACACACATACTACATACCAAGTTAATTACAACCCATCTAACTTTTACAACATATTATGAAATTTTCAACAACATTGACTTAAGGTTTATGTTAATCAAACCAACAAAACAAATCATCCATATTAACAACTTTATCCATTTTTTTTCTAAAACCTTAAGGGATTTCTCTAGATTGTATATCTTTCTCCTTTATCTCACAATAGTAACATCCTTTTCATCCCTATTATCTTCACTGCACCATTTTAAATCTCCACTTCCACTTTGATCTTAAAAACAATAAAAAAACAATTAAAATTTGCTACCAACAACTCTTTTTTATTTTAAAAACATAAACTAAACAAAAAAAAACCATGAATCTAACCTTGTAGTTAGGCAAACCTCAAAACTATTCTTAGTCATTCTTAACAATTCTAACCATTCTTAACATTGCAACCTCCCCAAAGTGGAAAATCGATGTTACACCCACCCCGTAGATCCACCACCATGAGAGGATATGTAGTGGTTTTGTATTCCCCATGAATAGAATGAACATGACTAACTACAAGACATAGCAAACTTCAACAACCAAGAAATTGAGAGGGCCATATTTCAACAACCAACAATTGGGAAGAAGAAGGCGTTGATGGAGATCCCACACTATTCATTAGGGAAAACAACGTATTCTTCCTAAAAAGGCCAAAGTTGACACGTAACCTGCTACATTGCACATCAAATTTAAAATTTTTGACATGTATCTATTACACTTTGCCACATCACAATCCTCTAAACGCCATTTTTGGAAATATAACAGAAAGATCCTGATTGAAGCGTCTTAATAGTATTTGAAACAAGAATATAAGTGGGGAGTTACTAGAAATTTTTCAACCAAAACTTGGGACCAAAGGAGTAATTAGGTTTTGTTACAAATAACCACAACGTAAACTAGTTTGTCTCAAAAGTAGTAATGTAACACACAATTGACAACTTACAACAAGTTTAATTTGTTCAACTATACACATTTCATCTCAAACATTAAGAAAAGTTCAAACAACACACAACATTCACACAACTCAAGATGTTGCGACTATGTCACCTTCAAATCTAGATCATTTATCTTATAATTCTATTAAAAACACAAATAGTTTTCTAACCATATTGTCCGCTTTGGGCCAAGCCCTCATGGATTTGCTTTTGGTACCACTCCAAAAGGCCTCTTACCAAGGGAGATATCTTATGTGTATATAAACTCATGTCCATTTCTTATTTTATCCGATGTGGGACTTTGTTTGTACCCAACACTTACAACAAAGTACCTAAATATAACAAAATTTCAATATTTGATAAAAACAAGTTGAGATGTTCACTTTTCTTAACGAACTCTACAAAGATTGATGAAAAAAATCATAAAAAGAAAAATAAGAGAAGAAAAAAATCTATAAAATAAATAAAAACTTACTTTGTTTGAAAATCTGATAGTAGAAATGTTCTTTAACTTCTCAACCTATTATGAAGTGTGATCAAATTTTGAAAGAGATGGGGATTAAAAGTTAGAGTTGTCAAAACGAGTCACTTGGCTCGATCCTACCTTACCCATCAAGGGTTGACCACTTAGCGAGACAATCCAACTCGACTGACTTATTAATGAGCTCAAGAATTCGAGTCCAACTTGACCCATCACTAGTTGGTGGGTTAAACGGGTTGGCTTAATTAATTAAAAAATTATTTTTTTTCAACCTCTTAATTTTGAATTCGCAAAACCTAGATCAATAATGGCTGAAATCTCTGATTCTCCATCAACTTCAAAACTCATAGAAGAAAACACATAAACCTCTATGCCATAAATTGACTCCAAAGCTATGCGAAACACAAAACCTAGAATCAAATGACTCATTATCTATGTCTAAGTGATCCTCTCATTCATTCTAGGTCCTTTCTTCACTCTATTTCTCACACTTTTTTCGTCTTCAAATATTTTATTATTTATTAATTAATTAATTACTATCAATTTGGCTGAGATCTTTGTTAAGGTTTTTGTTAATGAAGGGGATGAGGAAGGTTTTGTTCGCAATGAGTTTATGCATGTTAGTGCTAACGGGAGGATTGTTTTGTGTTTTAGTTTGCTCAATGCAGACCCTCGAGATTGGATATATGATTGGTATGGATTGTGAAGTGGAATTTTAATGAGAATATTATTAATTGATAAATGGAATGATCGAGGTGTTGTTTCTATTTTATAAATAGTTGATGTGTGATTTGATTCACTGTGAGTATTGTGTAGTTTCTATTACATTGTTGCTTGTCATTTTTACAAATTAGTTTTTGAGATGAGTTTTTTTATATGCACCAACTCGGTTCATCATGGATTCAATTCGAGTCATGTTCATTTTTAATCCATACTTAAATTTGTATATTTCTTTTGGCTTAATACCTCTTTTGGTCCCTCAAAAGGGGGAATGTTCAAATGTGTCCTACCTTTTTTAAAAAGTTAAATAGGGTCCCAACTTGTGAAAAAACTGTTCAATTTAATCCTTTTCGGTCACGGTGTTAATTTTTTAACGGTGTTGCTGACAACGTGGACTGAACAGAACGACGTGTCTATTATAGGTGAATACGTGGTTGTCAGAGGGTAAATTTGTGAAAATAAATAGAGATAAAGTGGTTGTGGTTAAAAATATAGGGGTTAGGGTTTGTGTTACAAAGTATTCGTGAATTGGGATTAAGCATTGTGGAGGAATTGTGTTCAAATTGGGGTGTTCTAGAAGCTGAAATCTGCAGAATGAATTGAAAAACGTAAATCAGGTTAGTGTTTATGTTTTATAATTTATGAAATTGTGTTATTGGATATGGTATATGTGTCATTGTCGCGTTTTGGGGGGTTTAACTACAGGTTAAATTATTGTGTGTGAAAAGTTGTCTTCTTTTGATGGTTGATAGTGGTCCCATAGGTCTTAGTTTAACTTAATTTAGTGGTCTCCGTTTGCATTTGCAAGGTTCGGGTAGGGATGTCTGATGACATGTTTCAGGTAGTGGTCTACCACGGTGGGACCTTGATCAAAGAAGTTCCCTTTAAGTATATAGGCGGGGAGATAGTTTATTGGGACGTAGACCCCGATAAATGGTGTTATTTTTGAGTATTAGGTTCACTTAAACATTTGGGTTACATGGAAGTAAAAGAATTATATTACAATACCCAACATGTTTTACATAAGCTTGATGATGATAAAGGAGCTGTGAACATGATGAAGGTGGCTAATTATTTGGGGAAAGTGAACCTCTATGTTGTGCATGGGGTGGACGAACCGGCTATTGTAGAAAATGATGAGAATGAGATTCTTTACCTATGTGAAGGTACTGCAGAGAGTGGTGGGGGTAGTGGCATCAGAGGAGAAGCACATGTTGAGGGTGGTGATCAAGGAATTGGGAACGTAGTGGAGGGTGCAGTGGAGGTTGAGAATGAGTATTTAGTGGATGTTGAGAATGAGGATAGTGGAGGTTGAGAACGAGGATGCAGTGGAGGTTGAGAATGAGGATGCAGTGGAGGTTGAGAAGGAGGATACAGTGGAGGTTGTTAATGAGACTGTAGTGGAGGTTGAGAATGAGGATGGAGTTGAGGTTGAGAACGAGGATGCAGTGGAGGTTGTCAATGAGGCTGTGGTGGAGGTTCAGATTGAGGATGAAGTTGAGGTTGAAAGTGAAGAATTAGTGGAAGTGGACATTGAGGATGGAGTTGAGGTTGATAGTCAAGAAGAAGTGGAAGTGGACAGTGATGATGAACCAGGAATGGATGATATGAGTGGTGATGAATACGTGATTGAAGACAGTGATAATGAAACCCAACAATAATGTAGGGGTTTGTCAGATTCAGATTGGGAGTCTGATGTGCTTTTAACTCCTAAAAACAGTGGAAGTGAGGAGGATGACAACGAGGATAGAGTATTTGTAGGTCTTTTTCAAAATATGCAAAACATAAGTCCATGGCAGATTACAAGTGGGAAGTGGGCACCATTTTTAGCGCAAGGAAGACTTTAAGGATGTCATTAGAAGGTATGTTGTTCATGCTGGGAGGGGTCTAAAATTTGTGAAAAATGATAACCATAGGGTGAGGGTGAGATGCATGGGTGGCCAAGGTAAGTACCCATGGATATCACAAGGTATAGCGCAATACACACACATAAAGCTACAACTAACAACTTCATCCTTTTATGCAAATCCTTCACTGCATTTTCCAGCTCACTTATCCTCCTCACAATTGTGCAATCTTTTTCATCAACGTTCTCTTCAGAACACCACTTGAAAAATTTATAGGAGCTCCCAATTGAAGATCCACCCTGTTATTCACCAAGTCAGGGAATCTATGAACAAATCCATCAAGTGAAGAAAACATAAACTCAGAAGGGTATACTTCAAACCTTGTAATGTGAACATCCCCAAAAATTTCTCCCAGCATTCTTCGTAGTTCTCGCGACTTTGGTTACAGCAATATCACCACAGTAACAAGTAGGGATTATCCCACCTCCCCTCCAACCACCACCATGGGACGAACGAGAAGATCCTTTGGCCCAACTTTTCGAAAACGAACAACACCCTTGGGAAGAAGCCATTCCTATCTCACCCTAAACACTTTCCTCACCTCAAAGACCAAGTTCTCTGCAACCCAAACTATAACCCCTATTTTTTTAACCTCTTTATTTATTTTCATAAATTTACCCTCAGACAGCCACATATTCACCTATAATAGACACGTTGTTTTGTTCAGTCCATGCTGTCAGCTACACCGTTAAAAAATTAACGCTGTGACCAAAAAGGAGTAAATTGAACAGTTTTTTCACAAGTTGGGACCCTATTTAACTTTTTAAAAAATGTAGGACGCATTTGAATATTCTCCCCTTTCAAGGGACCAAAAAAGGTATTAAGTCATTTCTTTTAACACAACTCGACTTAAATCCATGGTAGATCAAGTTGATTCATTAATTTTAACCCATTTAACAGTTTTATTAAAAATAAATGTTTAAAGAGAAGTGGAAAAAAGAAAAAAAATGAAGCAAAAGAGAAAAAGAAAAGGACGGGACAAAAGAGATAGCTTACAAATAAGACTCTAATATGATATATTCTAATTGAATTTAAAATATATTTATATTAATATGAATAGATTGTTTCTATCTTGTATCATTAAAATAAAATAAAATAGTTGAATTATGCTGTTGTTAATATGTGTATTTGAAAATAAAAGAGACAAAATATCATTAATTAGGCTTTATCATCGTGTTAATACATGATTATGAATAAAGGATTTTTGGTTCTAGAATGGGTAGATATGTACAACTCTTAAAAAAGGGAATTTTAATAGATGAAATTATTATTCTAATGTAATGGACTTCTAAAAGATGAATTGGTAATGTTGGCATGTGGCTTAGATGTAGAAGAAATTTAAATTAAAGATGATAAAAATAGGTAAACCTGTCAAGTTTGACTCCACAAAAATGGTTACAAGAGGCTGGCTCAGCATAGTTGTCAACTTACTAAATTTTTTATTTTCCTAAAATATATATATATATATATATATATATATATATATAAATTTTATAAAGTAATATTTTATTAGTCTTTAACTAGTTCATTAATATTTTCAATTAAGATGACACTTCTATATATTAAATTATTTAGTTATAATTAATCATTAAAATTTAATTATAAAAATTGTAATTATTTATGATTTAAATTATAATATTAGTGTATACTTATATCTTTCAAACAATATAATCCAAAAATTTTAATTATTTAAATTAATTTTAATTTTTAACAAACGAGACAACCAGTCAAGAATGATTACTGAGTTAAAGTTACTAATATGCTTCGCCAAATTAATGAAAAGCTAACTCAATCAAGTCCCATTAACTTTTTCATCCCTAATTTAGATTGAATAGAAGTTTTAAAAATAGTCCATGATGGGAATAAAAAAATTAGAAATACAGAGTGTAGACTTTTGTGCATTTCTTAGTTAGGCCTTCTTAATCATGTTTCTTTTCATAAAATATAAGTTCTTATATTTATTTTATTCTCCAGTTCAACCACATAATATCTAAGAATACAATTGGCATACCTAATTTCTTCTTACTTATTCAGGGTCTTAATCATATCAGGTTTGGATTTAAATTAACTGGATAAGCTAGTGCCAATAATTCAAATTATTCTATAGTAGTATGACTTATCTGAGAATATGAAACATGGCTTACCACAAACCACAAATGTACACCAAAAACAAATAAAAAAACCATAGACAAGATAAGAAATAGATACAGATTATACATCATGATGGATACATGATTTTGCTTTGAAGTTTACAAACCCAAACTTTTAACACCCCATTCTTCACCTACAACTTTACTACTTTCCTTTTCCCACCTAATAAACCTAATATAGGGTAAGGAAATGAAAGAAAAACAAAATATGCAGATATGATGTTTTGAGAAATAGGACCAAGTTGAGGATACCAAATTATGTTCTCCTTAGTCCTGCAAAATTTTGGGCCACACAACTTTTTGCAGATAGCCCATCAAACTGACACCTTATGTATGAACAGACTTCAACTCTCTTCTTACCAAATTAACAAGCCATCATTTGATACCAGAAATTCCTCCCTCCTTTGGAGAAATTTTCTGACTTCTTGCAAGAAAATTTGGTTAAGGTAGGTCTACACAGTGCAGAGTGAGCAATGGCTTCTCACAAATCCTAAATGTGAACATTCATCATGAAGCAACATCTGCATTGAACAAGGAGTGAAACATTTCAGTATTTTGCAACATTGATGTTGGGGAGTTAGGATGATGTTTTTTTTATTGAATATGTTTTTAGTTTGGGTAGTAAAATTAAAATTTATCTATATTCCAAACTTTGACATATTGGTTCTTCAACTTAAAAAGTGAATAAATATACTTTTATTAATCCAATTACTATAATTTTTTTGGATTTATTAAATAATGTTTAAGTTAATATTTGAGCTGTAACGAGTGAATGTAAATAATTCAAATGTTATCAGGTAAAAAAATTTAACTTATAAAAGCTATACTTATCCATTTTCAAAATTTGGAAACCAAATTGTATGAAAGTTTGAAGCGAGGACGAATTTCACTTTTGAGTCAAAGTGTAGGCAGTATAAAAGCTTACCTTTTTTTTTATGTGCATATTATGCCTCCTTGTTTTTGTTGGTGAATGCAATGTTCACTATAGTGGATCATTTCCCAAGGTCTTCAATCGGAGTTCCACATCCTTAAGATCACGAAGATGCTGTAAGATTTCTTGAAGCAAATCAACTCCTTTCTCCCCACCATTTTGTATGGAACCCATGCAGTGTTGCAGAAACTCCTTATCAGTTTCAAGAGCTTGTAGCCTCTCATAAACGCGATCAACCTCCTCTTCAATGGACGTCTTCATGCTATCCATTTCAAGCAGAGTAACTGAGTTTTGCAAATCAGATGATTCAGACTCCAATTGTCTCTCAAGTGTGTAAGCTTCCTCAGTCTCATTTTCAGCTGCATCTAAATATGGCAGTAGCTTCTTTGCCAAGGAACCTATTGGAGATTGTTTATCATCTGAAAACCCATTAAAATATCCATTCTCATTCAAGTCTCTGTCTCCACCATACATTGATGAATGCTCAATCAGTTTGATATCATCAAGGAGTTCCTCGTTATCTCCCAATGAAATAATTTTTTCCTCTAATGCTTTGAGCTGTTCTAGAATGGAAGCTCTCTCTTCCTCAAATTCTGCTAATGTGTCATCAAGAGTACTCACATGCTTTACACAGTCTAGTGCCATCTCCTCCAAATTAGAAACTGTATCTTCAGATGCATTATTGTGACTGCTTTCCTGATGGTTGAATAAAACATTATCTTCGTCACGCACCTCGCGGTTAAGATCAATGGATAGATCATCACTGTAGTTCATGTTGCTGCAAGAAGAAGAGGTGTCTCTACTTCTTACACTTCCATCTTTCATTCTTCTCAGCACCCTCAGTTTCTCTTTTGCTTCGTATTCCATTACCTTCTGCCTTTACTCTTCCAACTCCTTCTCAAGCTCCTGCTTCTCTTTCTCCCTTTTCATCATCAACTCATTCAAAAGCTGTAAAGCTTCCTGATCATACTCTGATTGTTCTTCCATCATTCTCTGGTATTGCAATGCTTCCATCTTCATTGCGGCCTTTTCTTCCTGCAGCCTTGTAATCATTGCCATTGTCTGGTTGGCAGCTATTGCTGATGCACTTCTCTCTTCTTCTAGTTCTTGATATACAGCTGTTAGGGCCCTTCTTTCAGCTTTTAGAACCGTTTTTAGCCGATCAACTGTGGATGCTGGATCTCCACATTCTACCTCACTTGCAACACTACCATCCATAGAATCATCTGGTACTGGTTCTCTTTTAAGCAGGTACTGAAGGCCATCTACAGATCTAGGAGTCTCAGGAAGTTTATCTTCTTCTACTTCATATGGCTCTGAGAACTTGGAAGATTCATTGCTTGTTTCTTCATGATTTTTCACAACTGCTGTTGTTTTCTCATTCATCTTAGCATTCTCGTTATCATTTGCACCTGTTTTATCTGTACCTACAATGTCACAGTACAATTAGAGTTTAAAGACACTGAACTTAAAAAGGAAATCTTTGCATTTCTTATAGAATTAAGTGCTTCACACCTAGACAAGGTAAAAAGAAAACTGCTATGCTAACCGTTGCTCGCCAAAGAATGAATAAATAGAAAGTTCTTTTGTTGCCAATAGATATCAAAACTGAAAGCATTACCATCACCATTATAATAATAAACGAGGTGCTAGATGCAAAACTTACAGGGATT